CGGCCGCCTGCGGTGGGGGGGGGGGGCAAGGTGAAACATGATTCACGTGAGGTGAGCGAAGGGGGTCGCCGCTCAAAAAAAGGAACACCACGAAATTATTTGAGTGAAAGAGCGGTAGCTTTGGGATCCGCGCCCCGTCGGGGCCACACAGCGAACACGGCATTAAACCACCTCGCACCTGCTCCGACACATCCGTCCCCGTCACCGGCGCTGGCGCCGCCATCACCCCCCCCTCCCCCTGCGCGCCGAAAGGATTACTCCCTCCGCCTCCGCCCCCGGCCCCCGCGCCTGCCGCCACGGCCACCGGCACCGCCGCCTGCGGCGGCTGACCGGGAACTGGAGGCATCGGCATCGACGGCGGCGCTCCCTCCGGCCCCATGCCTTGGAAACCCTGCGGAGGCTTCGGAGGCAACGGCGGGGGTCCCCCGCCTTGTGCTTGTTGCGGCGGGGCCGCGGTCGGAAGGGCGGCTGTTGGCGGGGCAGCGGCGGCGGCCGGCGTTTGGGCCGCGGCGCCGGAGGGGCTGGCCCACGAAGAGACGGCTCCCAGCACAGCGAAGGCTGGATATTTTTTAATCGTGTTGGTCGGACACGAGAGAGCAAGCGGGCGGCGAGTGTAAGGGGTGAAGACAGATACACAGGACAGGGAAATCAATAGCCAGACCAACGGACAACAGCAGCCGACAGACGTTGCTTTCTCGTCGACACCTTTGCCCAAACTGCGGGACGGGTGCCGGGGTCAAGGCGAGCTCGGCAGGCGCCGTCTGCTGCAGTAACATGTACGCACGCATGGTGGTGCTGCCGCCGCTGCATGGCCGGGGGATCGGCATGATCTTGCGGAACACATCCCCAGTACCACCACGCTAGAGGCGGTACGACAAGCACAGTATCCTCTGAAGCCCACGATATTGCACCCTCGAGGCCAAATCTTACGCTTGAGCCTTTGTCCTCCCAAAACAGACGGGTAGCAGCCCCGAATGCCACCAGCGTGCTCGGAAGTATCGCAAAATCTCAATTCGGGGAAGGACCGGTGCTGCGACTGCGTGGTCAACGATCAAAAATAGCTGTGCAGTCAACAGATTCGTCGGCTCCCCAGCCCCCTTGATCACCATCGGCTCCCCATCCCCCCCCCCCATCANCCCCCCCCACCGTGCGTTCCATTCACATGTCACTCACCGTCAGGTCCAGCCTGTGCTTGGTGTCGCCCATTCGCAGCGGCACCCTGAGGTTGCACACGATTATAACGAACGTAAAAACCATGAACAGGCGAGGGTGAGAGGAAAAGCTAAGGTTCGCTGCTTGCCCCGCCTGCCTGGGGGGAGCAGGGCTCAGCTTTCTTGGTGGGAACAAGTATATTGACCAATCAGTCGGCACCTCAGACACACGTCCCGTGTGGCAAACTAACGGAATCGCGTGTGTACGGCGTGCACGGTGACCGCGAAACAGGTGTGCCTCTCCCATCACCTCCGGCCCCAGTAAACATTGCGCTTGCGGCACGAGGGTCTCCCACACACACAGCCACCGCCGTATGCACGTGCGCCCAACACGCACGCCAATCCCCTCCCCATCCATACCTCAGCTCCCTTGTGCCGCAGGTGCGCGCGGTCTGTGTTCTTCTCTCTCCCCGTGATAGCGATCAGGACCGTGTAGTAAGGGGTCTCGTCCTCGAGGTGCACCTTCTGCACGACGCCGTCCAGAGGCGGGTCGCTTCCTCGGATGTAGAGGACCTCGTCCCCTTTCTCGAAGATCTAACGTCACACGAAACGCAAAACAGCAAAGACAAAGGGAACAAGCGAGATTGGATCAAAACAGACAGCCTTTGCCGAACTATGTCGAGAGGAGTTTCTTTATCACGGAAACGAGAATTAGAGGAGAGTGCATCACCCTATGTATTGGTGTAGGCCGTCGGAAAACGAAATTACCTGGGGCAAAAGCAAAACACATACAGAAACAAATAGACGGGTAGAGGACATGTGAGAGTTCAGACCTGAGCGAGAGTAGGGGGCGCGGGGTTCGGAAAGGGCGGCGTGCGCGTGTGTCTTGCAACTAGCATCGGCCGTGCTCACCGACTGACCGTAAAAGTCAGTGCGGCCAAAAACGTGTGTATTGTTTGCTTTTTCTGTTCAGCGTCTGAAACCTGCCGACCAATGGAATAATCGCTGCGGGGAATCACAAAACTACATAATACATATTAGCTTCGTTTGTCCTTCGCGTTTCTGCACGAAAAGGAAAAGCGAAAAATGCCTCTTTGACATTGGCTCCCATCACTTCATCTCGAGCGTTCAATTTCTCTTGTCAGGCTGTCATAATCCCGAGCCCCCTGTACGCATTTATTACCCCCAATTCATACACCGGCGCCCCTGGCGCGACGTTCACCCCCGACGCCCCCTCTCCCGTATCGCACAGTTCGCACCATCGAGACGACCAGACGACGATTTTGTCCCCCCCAACACTCGAGCCGTCATCCTCCTATTCATACCTCCTCGCCGTCCGGTCCTCTTCTGCCCGCACCGCCGGCGCCGGCGCCGCCCCCCCCC